TCCCCCCCCCTTTTTTTTGGTAGAGGCTTTTTCCTATAGGGTGCGTGCGCTCACCAAACAGAGAGAGACAGAGACAGAAAAAAATCACCTCCCGGAGGAGATGGCCGCGCCGCAATCCCGTCTCCTCCATTCTCCTCTCAGGATCTTGGGTGGGCACGCACGCACACGTGCCCAGCGTGATTTTAAGCCACCAGGTCTGGGACTCAAACTGCTACATAGGAGTCCAGCGACATAGCCATTATGCCAACTGCTGGTCCCTTTACCTCCCATTTTTAAAAAAGGGAACCTTCAAGCATTCTGGAAATTATCTTCCCCCCACCACAAAGAAAGTTGAGCCTCGTTCTGCTCAGCTGTTACTACTGGGCTATCAGGAAGCCCTGCAGTGGGTAAAGGCCAGATCAAAGGAGCACTGGTGCCTTACAGAGCCCACTCAAGGGACGTGCTTGCAGGACAAAGGCTCTCACATGCACCAAGCACCTCGAGTGAAAGGGCGGGACACAAGGCCAGGAGAACAGGAAGGTAGTGAACCAGAGCCTGGAGCATGTCACACTCTAACCACTTCCCTCAAGGTATTTTCTACTCTGTTGGACCTAAGTCAAAGCATGGTCAATAATCATTCACTGGTGCGACTTCAGAGCTTGCTACACCATCATGGTAACATTGTGTTAAGCACTTCCTAAATATCTCATTTAACCTTAAATGATTGTGAGGTTTTCCCGATTTCCACTTTACAAATGGAAGTGCAGAAGGGTTAATTCATAGAACATTATGAGCAAAGTGTTACAGCCAGGGTAAGAGTCTGGGTCTGACTCCAGAGGGGTCATCGGGCCCACTCTACAGCTTCCAGGGGCTGGTCCCTAGTGGAACAATTCTCGGGGGGAAAGTGTACTGAGCTTCAGAATGTTCTGTTTGTTCTTCCACAGGTGCCCTGCTGCGGGCCTTCAGCTACATGGGCTTTGAAGTGGTCAGACCAGACCACCCTGCCCTCCCTCCCTGGGACAATGTCATCTTCATGGTGTATCCCCTGGAGAGGGATGTTGGCCATCTGCCCGGTGAACCTCCCTGAACTTGCTTATTCCAACTCTGTGAGGGGCTGGAAGCCTTGACGTGCAGGACCCAGGGGCCCAGGATGTGATTCACACCTTCCTCCGTCCTAGGAATAAAGGCTAGTGCAATCAGCAAGCGTTCAGTTTCCTGGGGGAGAGTGGTTGTCCAGGAGGGAACGTGACCTTATGGGCTGACTTCACTGTAGGAGAAGCACTCAATGAAAAGATCAGAGGACTTGAATGAGAGAGGGGAGACATCCTAGGGTTTTTAGGTACCCTTGGCCACCCCTTTCAGCACCAAAAAAATCATTTCTCCATTTATTATAATCATTTACTGGCCACCTACCAACGCAAGGACCAATCTGAGTCCAGAAAAACTGGGCCATGTTATGTTTTCATCTATGTATTTCAGTTCAAATGAGATGAGTGTTAATTCCTTTTCTAGATATGGAGAAAACCAGAGAAGGCTACGGATCCCTCGGCTTTGGCCCAAGGGGAGTCTCCCAACAGACAAAATAAGAAATAGTATAGGAGAGGGCTTCCAGACAACCAGAAAATCACTGAGCTGTACTGGAAGAATGACAAAAACCCCATCAGCATGAGATTTAAACTGACAAGACTTAAAGACATTACAGCAATAGGCTGCAGGGAGGGAGGAATGAGACGAGACGAGACGCTATTTATTTTCTAGAGTAGGGAGTCCTATGGATGATTTCTCTAGGCGATCACTCTCCTTAATAATGAACCCCTGGGGACCTGAGGAAACAGGATGAAAGGACTGCACAGCCCTGCACAGTGGCTCCAATTCCAGGGCGGAGCATGCTTCAGTAAGTGTGCGGCAGCCCACGCCTCCAGTGTCAAATCGATGGAAGCTCCTTAAGGGTTCCCCCAAGAGCTGCTCCTTTCACGAGAGCCTTTCTGCTGAGATTTCTCAGAGAAAATAAAATCTGAAAAGTGTGGTTGTGGGGAAATACAGCAGCCATATGGTATATAGCATCTTTCTTTTTTTTGGGAGAAGTTGTTTGCTATAGGTCGCATGCGCTCACCAGACAGAGACAGACAGAAAGCAAGAAATCACCCCCCAAGGGGGATGGCCATGCCACAATCCCTTCTCCTCCATTCTCCTCTCGGGATCTTGGGCATGCATGCACAAGCGCCTGGTGTGAGTTTAAGCCATTGGGTCTGGGATTCTAACCGTGGTCAGCTACACGGGAGTCCAGCGACATAGCCATTATGCTAACTGCTGGTCCCTACAGTGTCTTTCCAGCTAGGGAAAAGGATGCAGCCAAACAGTAGTGTGCATTAGTGAAGAGTGGAAACAGGTTACCCAGAGCCTGACAGGGAGTTTATGGTGAGATCCTGTCCTCGGATCCAAGTCTCCGATGCAGGCCTTTTCTTCCAAAATGTTTAGGCCAGGTCTTATTACACAGCCTCAACCCAAAGTGGTCCTGGTTCTTCATGAACAGTTAACTTTAGGAAAGAATGGAAATGTGTATAGGGGAGGGGCACTTATTTCCTAGATGGGCCCCTTTGCAAGGTAGTGGGGACTGTCATCAGCTTCAGGCTCAGAAGATATTTTATGCACATGCCTGCTTTCATCTTGTGATTCAATCAGCACTTGGTTTTAGGTAATTTTCTTGAGAACTTTATTCAGCAAAAGAATCCTCCAAATGATTTAAACAGAACTATATGAGTTCTCTTTCTCTCTGTGTGTGCACACAGGCAGACACTCTACCAGCAGTTTGGGGTATTTCATGAGCCACCCCTCTTCTCGTCCGCTTGTATTTTAACTCAGGTTTATGAATAGCTGGAGTACCGTTACCTGTCTCTGCTGACATATCTGTAATGAGGCTGGGAGGTGAGATTCTCTTCTCACTTTTTGAGGTCTTTTGATTTAATTCTGCTGCTGTTTGCATTTGCCTGACTCAACTGCAGGGTTTGAATCCCCAGTCTTTGAGTTCACCACTCAAAAACTCCCTTAGCCAGTCATCTGAGGAGATGAGTCAGAAGTCTGCAGAATCACCGCTCCCAGTGACCAAGGCCTGGCTGTTTCCCAACCTCAGAAAGGACGCAGCCTAGCAGTAATGTACATTACGGACTGGCTGAGGGGACCAAGCATGACGCTGAGCAGCCTGGGAGTAACGCAGCACACGCTGGAGGGTGGGGAGGGATCGGGATGGAGCAAGGGAGAGGTATTTGTCTCCCTCTGCCCCGTACTCTTTCTAGTAGCCCAGTGGAAGGAGAAAATGGACTCGGTCCACAGCAAGCAAGACCATGTGCATAATAAAGGAATTCTTTTCACAGACTCCTCTCCGAGCACCAAATCCTGCCAAAGACACAAAACACACAAAAAGCTTGAAAGGGCTCAACGTTGAGGGCAAGAGAAACTGCAGGAAAACAGCTGCAGAGTTCATTATGATAGGACACGGGGGAGGAGATAAAGCGCGGCCCCCGTCGTCACCCTCGTTACTTTCCTGCCGTACAGACAGATGATAGCTCCACTCACATAGCAAAGCAGATGGCTGAGCCAGCTGAAGCACAGACTTCAGATCAAGTAGTCGTCATCAAGGTTATCATCACCAGACATCGAGGCTGCTTCTGTAGAGTAGAAATGAGAAGGGATGACCCTGCCCTCTTTTGACAGGCACTGCCAGTGAGGCTCAGGAGAAAGATGGGCCTCTTGGTGCTCAATGACCTGATCGAGCCTTAACATAAAACTCCTTAGTTTGGAGAGACTGACTGAGAAAAGGTGAGCTCTAAAGATGCTCCAAAGAGGAGGGGCCAGCAGGTGGAGCAGTGGTTAAGGTGCTGGGCTCCCATGTGGACGACCATCGTTCGAGTCCCAACCCAGCAGCTTGAAACTCAAGCTGTGTGCATGTGTGTCCCCAATCCCAAGAGAAGAATGGAGGAGAAGGGACTTGGTGTGGCCATCCACCCTTGGGGGGTGATTTCTCACTTTCTTTTTGCTGAACGCATGTGCCCTATTACAAAAATCTCTCTCAAAACAACGTTCCAGGGAGGAAATGCTGTTTATACCTGATAGACTGAGGCAAGACAGAGTATGCGCTATTTCTCCAGGGCTCTTTTTGGTCTCAGTGATCATGCTGCTGAGAGAGGCATCTGTTTCTGTGGCCTGCGGGGATAAAAACGAATGAAGGACCCTGTTGGCTGGTAGAAAAGGAGAGGCCACTTTGTCATCCTGTTCACATGGTCTCATTAAGGCAGTTGAATTGGCTGCGGACAGTGACATACTAGCTTCTTCATCAATTAATGAAGCGACTCAAGGTCCTCAGGAAAGCTAACAAAACATCATGACTAGATACCTTCTGGGTCTCTCCATGCAGGAGACTTGCCTGGAAGCAGCTCCCTAAATGACTACAATGGCTCACTTACCACATCCTTCAATATGTCTGAGGCAGCCCTGTTTTCCTCCATGTCTTCAGGAAGCTCAATTGCGTATCCTTTATGGACTAATTCTAGCCCAATATCAAGTTTCTGAGAAGAAGAATGAAAAGGGAATAATGTTTTCTCTGTAAGAAGGGCAGTCTGAGGAAAGGGCAGAAGAACTGGGGCCAGTTCTGTGGTACAGCAGTAATGCACTGCCCAAGAGAAGCCCGATCCCACATGGCCACCGTGGCTTGAATCACTGGTCTCGCTGGCCTGGAACATGCTGGGTGTGTGAGCGAGAGCCCAAGATCTGACAAGCTGGAGGACTGAGGGAAGGGGATCGCAGTGTGACCAGATCCCAGGTGCTCATGTCCCCAATCCCACCTCTTGTTCTCACATGGGCATGCACATGCTCTATCACAAATAAAGGGGAAAAAAGAGACATTCTTTTTGGTGGGATGGGAAACAGAATCCTACAAAGTAGGAGTAATATCAAGTGAGGGTTTCAGAAAGAACAACGAGGCTAGGAATATAATGAAGATACAGTAAGCAGTGAGCGGACCCCAGCCTTACCTTCCCATTGCTAGTATCATACAAGTAGATCTTTGGCCAAGTTGAAATCCCAGTCTGGACATAGCTAGAGATCTTAGCCACCAGAGGCTTCCAGTCAGCACAGTGAGTGAGTCTGTCAAACTCATCCAAAGCTTCCTCTTCCCACTGTTCACCTGGCAAAAGATGAACAGGGGGTGCCTCAGAGGGGAGCAGCACCAACAGAAGTAGGGTTCGTACTTTGCTCACATGCCTGCTTCCATCCTGTGATTCAATCAGCACTTGGTTTTAGGTAATTTTGCAAGCTGACAGAGGGAGGTTAGAACTACCCCTTTCTGCTCAGAAAGGACCTCTGTCTTCTGTGGTGGGGCCAGGACTGACTACCAGGCAAATTTCTGGCTGCTGCTTCCTAGTACTCGTGAGAAAAAGACTCCTGAGGCCCCAGAACGCAAAAACCCTGGGGATGTAAGAATTCTTCCCACATGCTACATGAAAGCTATTCTATTCAGAGGTCAATAAGCTGCATGATCCAGTTACCTGAGGGGGCGATCCGTGCCAGACTACACTCTATTGCTTGAAATGGAAGGCTTAGGAAGTCACTCCTAAAGTGAAAGAAACTGACATTAGGATCCTGTGGCCAGTAGCGCCTTTCTGTATTCTTTTGATTTCTTTTTCTTTCTTTCTTTTTTTTTTTTTTTTGGAGAGGTTTTCGCTATAGGGCGCATGCGCTCGCCAGCCAGACAGAGACAGAGAGACAGAAAGCGAGAAATCACCCCCCAGGGAGGATGGCCATGCTGCAATCTCTTCTCCTCCATTCTCCTCTCAGGATCTTGGGCACGCATGCACACGTGCCCGGCGTGAGTTTTAAGCCACTGGGTCTGGGATGCGAACCATGGTAGACTACATGGGAGTCCAGCGACATAGCCATTATAACTGCTGGTTCCCTGTATTCTTTGATTTCTGATGAACCAACTCAAGAAGCTGCAGAAGATAATCATCTGCTCTCTGTAAACAGGCTCCCTTCCAAATCCCCCAGTGACCAGGGCCAGCAGCTTGCCACACTGCAGTCCAGCTAAGTCAGTAGCTGGAATTTGGGCTTCACCGTGGCCTTTGCACTGACCTGAGTGCTCTGAGGTCCTTCAGGGGGCAATCTCCATTATCTCCAAAGTCAACAAAATACAGGTCCAAGTTTCCATTCTCCAAGGTGCCAAGGACTCTGGCTCGATACCATGAACCATTTGCAGGTAAAGGAGCTGCTACGATGTCTCCCACATACACAGTCAAGTCTTCAGGCTACACACAGGGATGCAGGCAGAAGGGGCAGAGTTACAAAGTGGCAGGCTGTACAGTAAACAGGATAAGCAGAAGGAAGAGGAGAGAATGTACTGCAGTGAAATAGATATGCCCTGTTCCCACAAACCCCAGACCTGTTTCTGTGGCAACTCACCAGACTATTCTCATAGTGCTGGGTCATTTCATTGATAAGCTTGTCCAACTGCAGGCTGCGGGAGCCAATGATCTGGATCCAGAAGTGGTTAGGGTGTTCAGAAGCAGAGACATAGACTTCCAGGTACTCATCAGCATGGAAACTGAAGTCAGGACTGGGGACTGAACACAGAGAGAAGGATGCGGCCATACAGCATCATCACTGGTTGGAATGGGGAGGTTGCATCAGGAGGATAAAAGGGTGGAATGCTAAGTGGCTGTCACCATTTTATAAAGGGCTAGAGGACAACCCTATGAATCATACAAGAACATCCTGAAGAAAGCTACTCATGGTCCTCTGTACTTTTCTATATAACTGAATAGTAAGAGCTTACATTTTTTTCTTTTTGGAGAGGTTTTTGCTATAGGGCATGTGTGCTTGCCAGAAAGACAGAGAGAGAGACAGAGAGACAGAAAGTGAGAAATAACCCCCCAGGGGGGATGGCCACACTGCAATCCCTTCTCCTCCATTCTCCTCTCGGGATCTTGGGCACGTACGCACACGTGCCTGGCGTGAGTTTAAGCCACCAGGTCTGGGACTCAAACTGCTGTCGACTACATGGGAGTCCAGAGACATAGCCATTATGCCAACTGTTGGTTCCACAGTTTACATTTTTTTTTTTAACTATAGGGTGTGTACACTAACCAGAGAGAAAGAGAGAGAGAGAGAGAGATACAGAGAGACAGAAAGTGAGAAATCACCCCCAGGGTGATGTCAAGGCCACAATCCCTTCTCTTCCATTCTCCTCTCAGGATTTTGGGCACACATGCACATGTACACAGCATGTTTCAAGCTGCTGGGTCCAGGACTCAAACTGTGGTAGACGACGTGGGAGTCCAGTGCCTGAAGCACAACGCTATCTGGCCCCAACAGTTTCCATTTTTCAGTTATATGACATGTATTCCAATCAATCACCAAGGATAATGAAAATAAATCCTCCACCTTCTAGATATAGTAAGAATCGACAAAAACATACATAGACAGCAATAGGCCTGGCCTATCCCAGGTCCCATTCTGCCACTGTCCTGCTATGTGGCTCTGGACAAGTCTGTGAGCCTCTTGGGGAACTTGCTCTTCTCTGTCCGTGTCAGAACCTATGTATAGGAAACAAAGCTCACGGCCTTTTCATTCTCCTTTTTTTTTTTTTTTTTTTTTAAGAGGTTTTTGCCAGAGAGACAGATGCTGTGAGAGGGAAAGTGAGAAATCACCTCCCAGGTGACCATGCCATAATCCCTCCTCCTCCATCTTCTTGGGATCTTGGGCACACACACAAACAAACTGGGTGTGAGTTTCAAGCCACCAGATCTGGGGCTCAAACCATGGTCAACCACATGGGAGTACAGTGACATAACTGCTAAACCATCTACTGGCCCCCATTCTGCTTGATTTTGAAAAACAGAAATGAGACGGGCAAATACACTAATTAAATAACATAAGAGCTGATGGACTGGAGGAAGGGGATTGTGGTGTGACCAGACCCTGTAGAGGGTGCTCCTCTCTTTCTCTCATGTGTGTGCACCCTATAATGTATAAAGAAAAAATAATTTAAAAAACGCAAAACATAATTTAAAAATGTATGGAGAAAGAATATCATGTAAATTTAATCATCTGATATATTACTCACAGACTGGTTCCCTGTGTCAGTATATTTCTAGCTCATTTTCTTTCATCATTAGCTGGTTTATATTCAGATAATCAGTTATGTTTAGTATTAACCCAACTAACATGTTACCAGAAAGGTGTATCAGTGATGATAGGTTAAATATAGTCATGAAAATAGAAATTAAATAATTCTTTAAAAAAAAGGAAAGAAATATAATTATTATTAAATTTGATGAGAGAGAGAAACTTAGAAAGCAAGCTGCCAGGTTTAGGACTCGAACTGTGGTTGGCCATGTGGGAGTCCAGTGCCTCAACTACCACACCACCTGCCAGCCCTACTCCGGTATTACTATCTTCCATAGGGTTAACATGTTCCCTCTTTGTTACATACTTTCAAACATGGACATCTCCGGACTGGCCTGGGCTTCAGACTTCTGAAAGCTGTCATCATTAGGTTTCTCCCAGGAATCTTCTTTTGGTCTTACAACAGCCACGTCGCCACCTCCTCTGTGGGGAGGAATGGCCAGGGGTGTAGTCTGCCTCTTGCTAGAACTGCTGTTCTTCTGTAAGGCCAGCTCTCCAGGTCCACCTGCCTCAGGTACCTCCTGTCTTCTCACACTGATTGGCTGCTTGCGCAGAACTCTGGTTTCTGCAGAATGAGCAATTCTCTTCCGAAGTTCTTCATCTTCTGAAACTTTCTCTAGTATCAGATGCTGTGGGAAATAAAGAGAAGGGATGATATACATGTGGTCAGATATTCTGGCCCAGGCTGAAGTGAAGGGTTCTTCTTATTCTTAGTGAGATTTGAGCTTATCCGCTACTTGCCTTGGCTGCTGCCACTTCCTTCTGTGTTCCTGAGATTTTTATAAGTCTTGAGAGCAGTAACGTCCCCTCTGATTCTTTGTCGCAGGTAATTTTGGCTCCAGAGGCTTTGCAGATAGAACGAATCGTCTCACCGCCTCTCCCTACATTGAACAACACATATAATTTTGTCCTTCCCTTCTGTCCAAACGTCACCACCAGAGAAGCCACTAATCTGTACATACAGGGAAAAACGAGCCAGTTCTCATCTCCAAACTAAAAAGAACATAAGCTGTTGCATGGGAAGCAGGAGCTACTGAAATTATTACTCAAGGAAGGAGAGTTCTGGATACTTTGCTTTATTCATTTTATTGAAACTCTTTGGTTGGATGAATATCTTCATGTCCTTTCCATTTTCTGAGCACTCAGGAAGGCCATCCTTGACATCCCCATCTTTACACAGGGAGATGTGCCGCATGGTGTGCCAGAAGGCCGGCCCAGGGACGGGACACCTCTGCCTCCCACAGCGGCACTAAGGAAAGGTCTAGGGGAAAGCATAACAGGTGCTCTAGAGCATGACCTTGAAAGATCTGAGGCAACAGGTGCTTCCCTTTAAAAATCTAATGAAGAGTTAATACATTCACCACAACACTTCTGGAACCTATTTGTGAGGTTCAGATCATGTGACTTCTTGAGGTAACAGGTTCTGTTTTTACCACCGGTTCTATAAAAAAGTAAAGCTCTGCTCTCAGTGTCCCTGCCTTTTTCCCCTTGGCAAGGTGAAGGGGTGGGAGGCAGACCAGAAAAACCCCTGGGAAGGCATGACAGAAAGCAAAGGTGAAGAACAAAGGCAAGAGCGGAGGAAGCCGTCCGGTGGTACCTATGATTCTGCCCACAGATCTCTGGGGAACTGAGAGCTGCTCAGACACTGGGGTATTCTCTGTCAGGATCTGGTGGATTGCTGCTTTGGCCTTGCACACCTGAACAGGAAAACCACTGATAAGCAGCACCCGCTCATCGCCTACATCCTCTGTGTCCACATCAATCCGAGCTCCTGTCTGTTTCCTCAGCTGCAGAGAGAAGGAGAGGTGTTATGTTCTGGAAGAGCTCCCCGGGGCCCAGCTAAGGAGGTTCTAAACCAAACCCTGGAGTGAGACTGAGCTGGCCAAAGGCAACAGCTGAATCAGCATGCTATAAGCAGTCCTCAATTACTTGCACTTATGGAAGGATATCAGTAACAAAGAGAACCCCAAATAGCAGTTAACCCAAATCCATTTTCATGTTCAGAATTCACCTTCCTCTCATTTTATTTGGATCAGAGAATCAAATATTTTGTTCTGACATTCCAACTGAACAACGGAATCTGATTAGAAGAACCAGGTAGCAATTCACTATTTACTGTCAATTAACTAGAGTTCATTAATTTCATAGCAAAAAACATAGTTCAAACCAGACCAAGTTAAAAATCATCCAATCAAAATCCCAATTTCAAGCTCCGCCATCCACTCTCTAGGGAGTAGAAGCACTCACCTCTAGAAGGAAAACAGCACAGTTGGCTAAAAAGTTCCTATAGATAATATATATATATTTTTTGTTTGTTTGTTTTTATAATTATTTTATTTATTTTTACTTATGTTTTTAATTTTTAAAATAATTATTTAATTTTATTTATTCATTCATTTATTTAATTTGACCAGAGAGAGATACAAAGAGAGAGGGAAAGTGAGAAAGCAAACCACCAGGTCCAGGACTTGAACTATGGTTGGCCATGTGGGAGTGTCCAGCACCTTAACCACCACACAACCTGCTGGCCCCCCAAAATATATATATTTAAAACATATATATATATATATATATGTATATATATATATATACACACACACACACATATATGTTATATATAAAAGGAGAAAAAATATGTAGCATGGTGTGTTTTGTGTTGCGGGGTTAGAGGAAAAAAACAGGAAGTAGATATACAGGATTAACCCCGGGAAAGCCGCGCACTCACCTGTTTAATGTTGGCTCCTTGCCGGCCAATGATGAGTTTCACAGCCTCCTGGGGAACCCGCATCTCTATCTCGATGTCATCCTCCCCAACAAACGTCAGCCGCTCTTCTGCACAGACCACGGCTCATCAAGTCAGACTGAGATAATGCCAAAGCCACTGCCAGTCAGCCCTCCCCACTCCGGCTGTCAAAGGGACACTGATCCAAGAGGGAAACCGAGAATCTCAAACCTTAACACCAGGAAGCAGCAGCATCTAAGTGGGAATCAGAGCGTCCCGGAAGACCAGAGTTGGGCATGTTCTCTGGTTTACTGTTTCAGATACTAAAACAGGAAATGCGGACTCTACAAAAAAGGGGTGCTAGGTTTTGGGCAAACCACTTCTCCCAAAGTATGACTCCCTGGAGAAGAATGATGAAGTTGGCCAAGGTGTCCACTAGGTTCAAAATTTCTGATGGATTTATACATAAATCACTGTTCTAGGCGCTATTCCCCAGCTAGTAGGAGACTCCCTCTTATCCTAACAACTAATTAGAAGAAATAGAAATAAGATAGCAATTTTTTTAACAGAACCCATTGCTGTACTGATATTGCCAAATGGAACAGAGTTACGAGTTCATTTTACAGACTAGCTTCACAGTTAAAACATAGAAAAACACAAATAGTTTCAAAGATCCCTCCCAGAAAGCCAATCACATCTCAAGAAACAATACCCAACCTGTCAAGAAGAGATTTCTCTTCAATTTAACAAGGGAGGAAGAGTCAAAACGTGGCCACCTACCTCTGCTCTCCCTGTACCTGCGGTACAGGATATAGGCAACTGTTGCACTGGCTGGGATGCCAAGGCCCAGGGCTACTTTCTGAATAGTGGACAGGTTTGTCCAGTAAGTCCGTTCAGTGGACATTTTCTGCTGTACTCTGACTTACATCCTAAAACAAGCAAACCAGGGAAAAGAAAGAGCTTTCATCTAACACTTGTGTGACTGGCAGAGAGGTATGGGAATGCATTTTTATGTGACTGAAAAGAATACTATTAGGGGGACCAGCAGTTAGCATAATGGCTATGTTGCTGGACTCCCATGTAGTCGACCGCGGTTCGAGTCCCGGACCCAGTGGCGTAAACTCACACCGGGCGCGTGTGCATGCGTGACCAAGATCCCGAGAGGAGAATGGAGGAGAAGGGATTGCGGCGTGGTCACCCCCCTGGGGGGTGATTTCCTGCTTTCTGTCTGTCTCTCTCTGTCTGGCGAGCGCACATGCCCTATAGCAAAAACCTCTCAAAAAAAAAAAAAAAAAAGAATATTACTAGGGACAGCAGATGGCGTAGCAGTTAAGGTACCGGACTCTCACATGACCGATGGCAGTTCAAGTCCTGGACCTGGCAGCTTGAAAATCACACTGCGTGTGTGTGTGTGGGGGGGGGTATGTGTGTGTGCGTGACTAAAATCTGAAGAGAATGGAAAAGGGATTACAGTGTGGCCATCCCCCCCCCGGGGGCCAATTTCTCCCTCTCACTGTCTCTCTCCTGCTAGCACATATGCCCTATGGCAAAAACCTTAAAGAGAAAAGAAAACTGCTGCCTATTTTCCCATTTAAAGAGCTTCAGCAACCTCTAAGCCTATTTCTTGTAAAAGGCCTCAACTAAGGGGCCAGAAGGTGGTGTACTGATTAAAGTGCTGGATTCCCACATGGCCAACTGTGGTTCAAGTCGTGGACCTGGCAGCTTGCTTTCTCACTTTCTCTCTTGTGATTTTCTTTCACAGAACCTCCCAGAGCCCTCGCTGAATGCTTCTCCATCTCTCCACAGCCAGCCCCAGTTCGCAATCCCCTACTCACAGGTGTGGGTCTTCTTTGTAGCCAGCAGCTCTGTCAAGAGAAGAGAGGGGGTCAGGGTAAAAAGTTGCACTGAGACGCTCCCCCCATTCCTAGGGTCGCATCCTGCCCCGTTCTTTCCCAGCAGAGGCTGGCTGCAGTCTGAGGAGGAGGAGGCAGTCTTCCATAAAGTGTTGCTCCCTTAATTTTCCTTCCTCTGCCTGTTATTGCCTCTCTACTGGATCTTTCCATTATCAAAAATCTTCCCTCCCCTCCTTTTTAAAGAGAGTTTTTTGCTATAGGGCTCAGCACATACGCCTGCTGGTGAGATAGATACAGAAAGCAAGAAACCACGTCCTCAAGAAGGGCTGGCCACACCACAATCCCTTCTCCTCCATTCTCCACTCGGGATTTTGGGCACAGACCCACACACGCCTGGTGTGAGTTTTTAAGCCACTGGGTCTGGGACTTGAACTGTGGTCCACTATGCTGGTGTCCAGCAACATAATCATGACACCAATCCTCCCTTCTTCTTCTTTTTTTTTTTAATAATTATTTATTTAATTTTATTTATTCATCCATTTATTTTAATTTGACCAGAGAGAGACAAAGAGAGAGAGGGGAAGTGAGAAAGCAACCCACCAGGTCCAGGACTTGAACCATGGTCGGCCATGTGGGAGTATCCAGTGCCTTGACCACCATGCCACCCGCTGGTCCCCAATCCTCCCTTCTTTTTGGAGAGATTTTCGCGATAGGGCGCGTGCGCTCACCAGACAGGCAGAGAGAGACATAGAGACAGAAAGTGAGAAATCACCCCCCAGGGGGGATGGTCATGCCGCAATCCCTTCTTCTCCATTCTCCTCTCGGGATCTTGGGCACGCACGCACATGCGCCTGGCGTGAGTTTTAAGCCACCGGGTCCGGGACGCGAACCGCGGTCGACTACGTGGGAGTCCAGCGACATAGCCATTACGCTAACTGCTGGTTTCCCCCAATCCTCCCTTCTTAAAGAAATCCCTTTCTCTATTCCACTTACTTCAAACCCTTCCCATTTTCCCCTTCCTTTTACAGGAAAACTCAATGTCAATACTCCTGCCCTCTTCTTTGACTTGACTCTAAGTGTTGTTGTCAAGATCACCAGTGACTCTGCATTGCTAACTCTAAGGATCAATTCTCCGTCCTCATCTTCCCTGACCTCACCGCAGAACCTGGCAATTTCCTCTTCTGAAATACTTCTTCACTTGGCTTCCAAGACAGCACACACTCCTGGGTCTTCCTGCTCCCTTCCTGGCAGTGCCATTAGTGTCAGTTGCTGGTTCCTTCAGGTTTCTCTCACCTCTAAGCACTGAAGTGCCCCAGGAATCTGTCCTTTGTCCTCCTCTGTTTTACCTCACTTCCTCAGTGATCTCAAATTCACACATGGCCTGGCTTTAAATCCCACCAATATGCCAATAATTCCCCCAACCATGGTTCCAGCTAGAATCTTTTTTTTTTTTCTTCTTTTTTTTCCTTTTAAGGTGTTTGCCAAAGGACACATGTGCTAGCCAGAGAGAGAGAGAGAGAGAGACAGTGAGGAGGAAAGTGAGAAATCACCCCCTGGGGGATGGCCACACATCAATCCTTTCTCCTCCATTTTCCTCTTGGGATTTTGGACATGCATGCACATGAGTTTGGAATGATTTTCAAACTGTCAGGTCTGACACTTGAACCAGAGTTGACCATGTGGGAGTCCAAGGCTTTAATCACTACACCTACTGGCCCCAGGACTTTTATCTTGAACTCCAGGTTGGATATACACCCACCTACATAACATCTCCACTGATGTCTACACAATGTGGAGGGTTCATAAGAAAACAGGCAAGCAAGGGTTAATAAAGAGGGTCTAAGATGAGCCTTACTTAAGGACACAAACTTGCTCAAGGCCAAGGGCCCAAGATAAAGCCTCCAGATAAGCTTTCCATCAGAGAAAAGAGCTGTTCTGGTGCCACCTCCAAGTGACTAGTACTGTCATCCAGGCTGGAGCTTGCCAGTTTAGTTTATCCTTACCCTCCCCTGCAATTCAGACCCTAGAAAAGAGACCCTCCCATCAAAAGGTGCTAACCTGCAAACCTGCTTGTCTTGCCCCAGGTTTTCTCTGTCTTTCCAGGCACTGTCATTAGTTTTCTGATCTCTAATCAACTTAACCTTTACCATCCATGCCCTGGCCCCACTGCCCTACTGCAGAACCAGGCATCTCCCACTTAACAGGTACCACTGAACTCCTGGGGCCGGCCACCTCAGTAAGCACAACTCCATTCTTTATTTCCTTAGGCTAAAAACCTTAGTCATCCTCCCTCAAACTGCACTTCCAGCCTGGCACCAAACCTTCTTTACTTTACCTTCAATTTACCCAAAATCTAACCACTTTTTACCTCTCCATTGCAGTGGCTCGCTCTGCAACACCATTATCTTTTCCCTAGGTAACTGCAGTTGCTTAATGATGTCCCTGCATTTGTCATTGTACAGTTTATTCTCAAAACGACAGCTGGAGTTAGTCAAATAACATTATTCATCTGCTTAAAACCTTCTGGCAGCTTCCCATATCCACTATGATTAAATGCCAAAGTCGTCATAACCTACAAGGTCTTCATCCTGATTGTCTCCCCATCAGAAGGTAAACTCCACAAGGGCAGAAATTATTCTATGTCCCCAGTGCTTAGCATACAATGGCCACTCAATAAGTATTTGGGCAATAATAATTTGTTGAATAAATAAACTTCCTCTTAGGTTTTCAGCGACCAATACATAAACTCCTTAATGGCATGAAAAGTTCTTTAAAATCTGATCTCTATAATTTTCATAGCCTTATTCTACTTTTCTTTTTATTAAAAATTATTTTATTTATTTATTCAACCATTTTCATTTGACCAGAGAAAGACAGACATACAGAGAAACAGAAAGTGAGAAAGCAAGCCACCAGGTCTGGGATTCGAACCATGGCCAGCCACGTGGGAGTGTCGAGTGCCTTAAGCACCACCATGCCACCTGCCAGCTCCTTATCCTACTTTTTCAAGAGCTCTTCAAATAGTTCATGGAAAATGTGTATTATGATAAAACTGTGCTGCAATCCCTTCTCCTCCACTCTCCTCTAAGGGACCTTGGGCATGTACGCAAATGCGCTCGGCGTGAGTTTAAGCCACAGGGGTCCGGGACTCGAACCCCAGTTGATTACATAGGAGTCCAGTGACATAGCCATTACACCAACTGCTAGTCCACTGAAGGTAGATTTCTTACTACTGTCATATGGATGACCAGAACATGCACCTGGCTTCAGAGAGCTTTTATGACCAGTAAAACTCAGTAACACTCTTCAGAGAGCTAACAGAAGTTTGGCAAATGTTATTTTTTAGCCAGTAAGTTTTTAGTTTTTTTTTTTTTTAAGAATAATTTTTTAAACTTTATTATTATTTGTTTTAATTTGACCAGAGAAAAAGAGACAGAGAGAGAGTGCAAAAGCAAGCTGCCAGGTCTGAGACTCAAAAACTATGGGACACCCTCTCCCTTTACTTGCATGTATCACATTTTCAATAACTCCTCTGGAAGACAACTGTATATAGCAGAGATAGGGTAATGGGAGAGGGGGAAAGGGCAGAGGGTCAAACATAATGATGCTCAGGGAAGGAATGTTAGGCAATATAAAAAAAAAAATAAATAAATAAATAAAGTTGCAGGAGAAAAAAAAAAACTGGTAAAACTGTTCGTATCATTTTGTAAAAAAAAAAAAATGCTTATTTGACAACTGCAGCGAGCTATATGGTCACAGCTGGGTACTACTTTATAGTATGTTCATTCTACTCAATGGGGTTTATGCCTAAAGTCAGACTTGGGTTCATGTATAGGTATGTGTCAGCTGTGCTAGCTATTGGATATATTTAGACTAATTAAGCTCATTGGCAGAACAATTGAATGGGGGGGAAGGCATGGAGGGCAACCATGGATGCCAGGGACAATGGGGGAGGAGGATGGGACATAGCAGAGGGTGGGGGATGGGGAATCTAGGATGGTAAAACAAAAGGCAAGGTATGCAGGACATAAGAATTGGAAAATTATTTGCTGAGAACATGTATGTTGATGTGCTTGATTGAGCCAATGCACAGTGTATTTTGGATGGAAAATTCATTTGTGTGTTGTGATGGTGTATAGTGAATTAATGTAGAAAATGAATAAATTAAAAAACAAAAACAAACAAAAAAAAACTGTGGGCCATGCTACCTACCGGCCCCAAGGTTTTAGTTTTTATTTCTTCCATGAGAGAGAAAGAGAGGGAGAGACAAACAACACTCTCAGCAGGGTCTTCCTGTTGTCATCTACCCCCACAGCACCAGATCACTGGCATGTGCTTGCTCATAATAGTCAGTGAGTCTCTGGATGAAAACCCAGAACCTTCCTTTGTGGGTTGGCCACGTATTGTGTTCCACCACTGTGTCACTGTCTGACCCCCATCTAGCCAATAGTTTTAAACTAATTTACTCTTTTGCCCAAACTATCTGAAGAAAATATTTTATTACCTTGGTGGGGTACTCTTTTTAAGTGCCATGCTTATCCTGAACAACTAGTAACTCATTAGATCTCATATATGAATTTTAGAGGCCGAGAATCAACTTGAGGAAATGCTGTTCCTTCCTCCACCCATTTTTAGGGGTCAGGATAAAAAAGGTAGAGTTTAATGTGGGTTGTTTTCATTAATGGTTCATTCCTCAATACACTCGATAAAATTCAGCATCTTGGAACCAGCAGATGGCACGATGCTTATGTCACTGGACTGCCATGTAGTTGACTGTGGGTCAAGTCCCAGACCCAACGGCTTAAAAGCATGCCGTGTGCGTGTGTGTGTGTGTGCGCCCAAGATCCCAAGAGGAGAGGAGAGGAGAGGAGAAGGGACTGCAGTGTGGTCATCCCCTGGGAGATGACTACTCACTTTCTCTATCTCCAGTGAGGGCATACGCCCTAGAGCAAAAATCTCTCTCAAAGGAAAAAAAAAATCAGCTTTAATCTCTCTCTCTCTCTCTTTTTTTTTAAAACAGACTACAAATAAAACTATTCACCACTCTGTTGCAAAGTCTGGGTGGTATCACGTAAATGCCTTCATACATACCAAAGGAAAGGGAAGAAGTTCGGTTCCATACAGATTATTTTTTCTTAAATAATTCTTAAATACATAATTCCCAAACTGCTACTTTCCTACATTAAAAGAAGGTTTATTCTAGGTTTCTAGAAAATATTTGATTGCTTTTACCTCTTGACTATTTCATGTGTTTTACCAGTTGGTCTCTAAAGGGTAAAGCTTGTGCTCATTATTAATTGGTTCAGTTAAATAATACCAGCTCTTTGTTGGGGGCTGAGTGTGCTGAGGACAGAAGGAAAAAGAATTCCTGCTCTGAGACACTCAGTCTAGCATGAAAAATAAATACCCAAACAACTAATTACAAGGCAGTGCAAACAATTAAAATTCTTGGTCAATACAACAGTTGGGAGAAACCAGAACTTTAAAAAAAAAAAAATTATTTCTGGGACCAGCAGTTAGCATAATGGCTATGTAGCTGGACTCCCATGTAGCAGACCGCAGTTCGAGTCCTGGACCGGGTGGCTTATACTCACGCCAGGCGCTTGTGCATGTGTACCCAATATCCCGAAAGGAGAATGGAGGAGAAGGGATTGTGGCGTGGCAATCCCCCCGGGGGGTAATTTCTCGCTTTTAGTCTCTCTGTCTCTCTGGCAAGCGCATGCGCCCTAAAGCAAAAACCTCTCCAAAAAAAAAAAAAAAAAAAAAAAAAAGGTTTCTTTCTTAGATGGTGTACTATTGGGAAACACCTCATTAAACTGTAACTTGGAGTCCGATAGTGGCACAGTGGTAACACAACTGGACCCAAATGCAAAAGGTGCCAGGTTGATGTCCCAGGACCTGACTGAGGAGCAGGCACATGGGTGCCTGTGGAATGGGTTGTCTGACACTGAGGGAGGGTCAGGAAGTGAAGACTCTGCAGTGCCTATCTCTTTTACTCCTGGAAGGAAGGAAGAAATTTAAAAATGCGACTCACTTATTTTCTGCATTCAGGCCAACAAATACTGAGTATCTGATGATACAATAGTGAAGAAAGACAAGTTGCCTCATGGAGATTCATGTCTGGCAGGAAGGTCTCAACAGGCAGGAATTTATACGTTAAAGGTTTTGGGAAACTGAAATAAATTTACTCCTGGGAAAAACAGTAATAACTTGATCTGTACTTTAATGCTGTCTGCTTTTACATCACTTTTCTGGCCATAATTCATGCTTATGGGGCAGAGAAATCATAGACTTTTCTGTGCTGGAGGAACCACAGAGAGTATTTGACTTTATTAACAATGTTGCGACTAGAGCATGGGAGGTCCAGAGATAGAAAAGGATTTCCCTGAAGTCACACAGCTAATTAGTCATTTCTACACAATACAGTGTGCAAGGGAAATAAGTCTGTTTTGAAGGCCAGTCATGATCATACCTCTATAAACGTCCAAAGGCCTAAGAGCCTTTTATTTTTATTTATTTATTTTTTTTATTTCTGAAACTATCAGGATCAGGGCAAAACTATATTGGATATTTTTCTGGGTCTGTACCCAGACCCCCTCAAATCCCTGACGCACTAACTAGTTTGGGTTTAACTGCTATAGGCTTCCATGGTATCTTGAACATCTCTTCATAACACATACCATGCTTATCATTCTTGATTAACGGCTGTGTCTGTACTGGGTAGAATTGGAGACAGCAACAGCGCGTGCAGGGAGACCAATCAGAGACTAGTCCAGGTGTCAGTGGTGGAGAGAGAGCCGAGGGGATGGACCGGAGTTTTAATAAGTACAATACAGAAGTCTTAGCAAATTGATTTATGTTGTAGAGAAAATAGCCAACGAGTTAGCTATCAGGTTTCTGGTTTGATGCTGACGTTTTTGACAGACAGTATTTATGATTTGGTGGTGGAGCAGTGTGTGTGCCACAGCGACAACTATCCGTAACAAGGATAAATTTGTTGGGCGATTTCTATTTGAACCAAAACCTAGTATCATTAACTTCTCTTCAGATGTTACAAGTGAATTTGGGCTGAGTCATCAGCTGATGTCTCCAAGAATGAATAGCTATTTGATTAATCAAGTATAGTTTTGCTAATAATTTATATATCCTTTTGTTATTTATTTCTTTTAAGAGAAATAAAAGTGGGAAATAATATGATGAAAATGAAGATAATTTCACAGTACTGTAATGCTAGCTTGTGTTTGATTTGATTACTTAAAACTGAATGGGAAGAAGAGTAGAACTTCAGACTCCCCTAGGGGAAGCTAAGGGGCTACTGTAGATCATATGTTTCTGTATTGAATGGTTTTCAGTAGAAGGTAACTTTGAAATTCCTGACATCTGTATTACACAGCTGCCAGCAACTAACTGATGAGCAGAGCTAAGGCTTTACTTCGATATTACCATTTCAAAACGTTGTGAACTCCACGTGGACAAACAAACCTCACTGCAGGATCTCCTAATAATCAGAAAATACCGAGGGCCTAAAGAGTGACATGCTTGTTGAATCGAAGCAGTTCAATTTTCTCATCCTTGATACATTTATTTTTAAACAGTGAGTTTAAAAAAAAAAAAAAAAGGTCTCAATCCATTTCTCTCAAGCTAAAACTGATCTTCAGCCAAATCCTACCATAAAACTGCATTAAGGAATAAAGAGGGAGACTGGGAAAACAAAACCCCACTGTATCATAGTGGCAACTGTAAACAGCCGTCCTTCCTATTAGATGACTGGTGAGAGAGATGGGGAAAATGAAAGGCAAACTATAAACTGAAGTCTCAAAAAGAATCGATGTTGAGTCCACACTGATGGGGCAACGCCCCTCCCACCAGGCCTGCTGGGGCCTACCCTTGACACGGTCACCGGTCCCAGCTCCGGGGGTACAGCTGCCCGCAGCCCGGAGCTCTGACGCCCGCCCGGGGCCCACACCCTCACCCAACCCTGGGGCGCGTCGACAGATTCCTTCCCTCAACCCCGCTAGTCCACCTCCCGGTGGCCGGGGTTGTCCGCGGCCCGGCCTCCCGCACCACCCAAACCTCGGCTCCGGACCTTGACACGGTCACCGGTCCCAGCTCCGGGGGTACAGCTGCCCGCAGCCCGGAGCTCTGACGCCCGCCCGGGGCCCACACCCTCACCCAACCCTGGGGCGCGTCGACAGATTCCTTCCCTCAACCCCGCTAGTCCACCTCCCGGTGGCCGGGGTTGTCCGCGGCCCGGCCTCCCGCACCACCCAAACCTCGGCTCCGGATCCCCGCTGTTACCGCTCCTCTACATCCAGCCGTCGCGCACTCCGCCTCGCACCTAG